GCATCTCCGAGTCGCTTAGAATACGCGACTAAAAATTATACTACCGGATATAAGATTCAGGAAGCCGACTACCGTGCTCTAAGGGGAAAATTCGATTATGCACAGACCGTAAGGGATGTCCGGGGATAAGTGGGGAAGTTGTAGTACCTCTTGAAGAAGGAAAAAATGATGAAGTGGATCTGTTGATTTCACTCCAGCCTCTACATCTCACGCGTCTCCATCAATTTATGAGATATGTTCCAGAGCTTATCAAACAGCTCATGACTGCAACTCATTTAACAGCCTTTCTATCTTTTTTTATTGGCAATCATCTCGACTTCCGGGAAAATTTTAAATAAATATAGACGTGGAGGTTTTTTCTGGTGTAATTTTCAGTTGATTTAAAATCCATTGAATCTGAAATGGAATATATTAATACTATAACCCACTGATTATTATCAGAATGGCATCAATTTAGGTGATGGCCGTACGGATACGATCGGGAGAATATGCAAGCCGAGGATAACTTTTTTTTCCAATAATCTTCTTTTTTTGGCTGAAAATATACGGACATGGAGGAAAATATGACGTGGTTCTCGTGCGCTATAACTAATCCCATGGCTGTTGGTAATAAACGATAAGGCAACCCGATGTTGCACGCATGTACTTCCGCTTCTGGCTTTTATCGGTGTTGGCTATATTTATGTCATCAATTGATCATCCTGAATGTAAACACGGAAATGCTACCACTGCACCAACTGTAATCATACAATTATCATCATTTCGTAAGGCTCATAGTTTGATCCCTTCGCCACAGCACTTCCAAGTGTTTTTCGACAATTCCATGAATGTTTACCTACCATATGCACAATATGGAGATCGATTATTTATTCACAATATTGAAAGTGTACTGACTTTAAATATTCAATATTATTATTGAACTACATACTCCATCATGTCATGCGCAATTCTGTTTCGATTTTTCAATGATTGAAAATGATATTTTACATCTTGAAATGATTCTCGTGTCTTCATAATCCTAAATTCTACACTTCAGTGAGCTCCAGGACTCATCAATGCTTTGGAAATCTCTCTTTTGTATTGAAACTAGTAATCCATTAACGTTAATTTAAGGTGGAAGTATATGACAAATGGTGGAAGTTGAACAGCTGCGTATAGAAATGCATTTGAATTAACCGCTCAAGTGGTCACAAGTGAAACATTTCACCGTCGTTTCAACATTCAACCGGGCGAGTTGCGGTTACCATACTCGTTATATATTGTGACAGAATGCTAGTCATACAGTATACCTACCCGAGCAATTAAATAAAAATTGAAAATTGATTGCATCGCCTACAGGGCGAATAACAGTACTGCATTCGCATTTATGCGCGTCATAATGTACAATAATTATGGATACACGCGTTTGTAATATTAACTGTGGACATTGGTTGCGGTGTATTCGAGCGGTTTTATTACTTATTGATGATTCGAAAGTACCGAGATCAATTTGTGACCCCTGTGCTATTCCGAATTATTCATTGTTCAATTTTAATGGATATTGCTAATGGGTTTTCTCTTTTCCGGGGAAAAATGGAAAATATTTGGGATTAACAAAATTTATCGGGGTTTTAATGTTTACAGAAGGTGTAATTTAATGGAAATTATTATTCATTCGGCTTTACTGGTTCTCCGGATCAGGGAGCTTGATTTCAACCGGAAATTGATGGTAGGGCGAACTGCCCCCTGTCAGCTCGGCCAATAAGCTACAGGGGTTGGAAAACAGGGGATGCTTTACCAACGGCTGCTCATAACATCCGGTAAATGGATTCTCAACTATTGATCATGAAACTCGCTACATACAACTATTGATCAGAATAACCGTCTATTTTACCCGTGAAATTTCCTTGAAAATGCTCACAACCGCTAAAAGATGTCGGTGTACTTTCGCGTTGACAATTTCAAGTTTCGAGAACTGGTGTCTACCGAGCGAATTACAATATTGTAATGCGAATTTTCTATTTTAATAGTTAAAGAATGTCTTGGCTCAATGCTCATTTCAACGCTAATAGTTGAAAAATATAAACATTTGAGTCAAAAAAATAATCACATAATCGAATTTGTCTCCAACTATTATATTTCATGATGTACAATTAGAAAAAATATCAATACTCTGGAAATTCATGAATTGTCTGTCCTAAAAAGAAATCAAGCGTTTCAACAATCGTGGAGAAATTTCGGCAATAAAATCAAATTGCTGCCGTATTTTCTCGAACACGGGAATCTCCGCACGAATACTATTGACCTGAATTCAAACTCGACACGTCATTGTATTTTCAAGCATCTTAAATCATACCGTACAAACGTGACTGTTTTTTCATTCTTTATTGACGAGGTAAATAAAGGTGGGGATGAGAGTTTGGGTTTAATGGGTGGCATTCGGTGGACGGAGCACTAGGTTCACCGGACTGGAAGGGATGTCAAAAAGATCAACACTTCACTGTCAATATTTCTCAATTTGATGGTGAAAACGGGTCGACAAGATGATGGAAATAAGGGGCCTCCGTCGTGAGTCATCTTGTGGTTGATTTCAAAATATTGACAGAATAAGAAAAGCCTTCCAGAGTGTATCATTTCCATGCGTCTCAACGTTGAATATACCCCCCAAAAAATATTTCAGATAAAAATTTGATAATCAATTTGCAAACCTCTTACACCCACTATCAATAAAAATAAAAATGAAACGTCAATTGATGATATTATGGATGATTTTTTAATGATATTTTAGTGATTATTATTAATGATAATGCGAAAATGCTGTGATATAGAGTCTCTTTAAGAGACGGATAACAAGAGTAATATGCAACTCGAATTAATGAATTTCTTGAGCAGGTGTGTCATCGTGCTGTCATGATTTAATATTCATTAATTTCGTTACTAAAGACCGTCAACTAGACAGAGTAACGAGCCATCAGGTGACGTGGCTCACACGAATTGACGGTCAGTGCCGTCGGAATTACATTTCAGTCAGCGATCGATGAGAAACATCCTAGAAATTCAACGTTGTTGTCCAACACAATCCCGAAGAACTGAATAAGTCATATCGCAGCAAATCAAACGCCACTGCTCAAACACCAAAGAGGGATGACTAGTCATTCCCTGATCAATTTCAGGAGGGGGAATTTACAAATTATTCCTAATACAAGAGGTAATGCAGTTCGCCTGCACTCAATTCCCTCTGCATTGTCCCCACATAATTCAGTTCGTAAAATCACAATGGGACTGTCGATTGATCGCACTCTACCCGGAATGTTATCAACTGGCTGAAATAAAAATGACATTTCCCTTGAAATTCACCCAAGGCTTGTCATCTATTTTCGTTAGATAGATGGTTTAATTATTAATAGGCGACTCCACCTGGAAATAGATGAATTTTAGACAGGAAGTCCCTCGAAAATAAGACCAACGAGGGGCACCAGTGGGGTGAGGTCAAACCTCTATACTATGACAATCGACACATGGATATACTTGTTGCCATAAGTTCATCAGACATTGTCAATAGTTGCAAGCCCATCCCACATATTGATCACAGCCCAGTTCAACTGTACCCAAGGGCACATTTCAACCCATTAAAACTGAAAAATCCATGTAAGAAGAGTAAAAATCCTGAAAAGCTTTTTAAAATTCTGTTTCTTTCCTAATCCTATAATCTGCTCCATAAAATTAATATTCCAAACATTATGACTGTATTGTTCCAGTGAAATTGAGGGAAATTTCACCGTAAAATCGATTGCTCATGGCAACAAATTCTTCTGTTATTATGAAATATCCAATATAATTTCCCTGATACGAATTTCGATGTAGGCGATACGTAAAATTGAGGCACTTGAGGTCTCAGTAATTTTTCACTCCCTCGAGCCATAAAAAATTCCCAACTCCCTGGTCTTTCACACTATTGAGCTCCCAAACTAGTACCCAAAATTATGGTCGTCATTCCTACCAAGCTCAAGGCTGGCCAATTTTCCCCTTCCAACAAAAATCAATCCCTCATTCCAAGAGAACAAAGCGACCCCACTAATTTCATTGAATTCCAAACGAAGTCCTTCAATCAATTCAAACAATTAATAATCGAATATCCCAATAAAAACTCCATGCATCAGAAAACAACAATGAACCCTCCAGTCGGAATTCCCTCCGCAGGTCCAAACCTGGAAAAATCAGGGCATTGTAAAGCACCCAACTGGGGGACTAAAAATATTCAAATGAACCCTCTGCACGCGACGTGACCCCGTGAGGGCACAAAATCGCGGGTATTCAACGGAATATGCATGCATTACGTCACGGACATGGTTCCAATAATCACAAGGTATGACGTCATAAAATCAAGCAGGTAAAAAATCTAAAAAGGGCATTAGGTGGAAATGGCTATATGACAATTGATATACGAATGAAAACCATTGTGTGTACCAGTGCAGGTACACAAAAATGACGAGAGCGAGGGGGTGAAAGGGTCAACGAGCCTCACAAAAAAAATGCATATGTCCCTATCTGTAGCATCTATCCATAATGTCTACATGATATACTGATATACTGCATTTCGGATCGAACTATATGTATCAAATATTAAGTATATTTCCCATAACACAGTGTTTGAAAATAGCGCTGGAAATTTAATTTCATGCTGCTCGCCGCTGAGTGGTTGATACCTCACAGAAAAAATATGTACGTTAATAGTTATATGTGATATATATATGACATATTGCATTTTCGGCCAAAATATACGGACGTGTAATTAATATGTATTTTACATATATAGTTTCTGATGAGGAGAGACAACGTGAAATGAGGTGTTTGGCGATGGAGTGTTTGCCGGTATGACTTGAACACTTTGTTTTGAAAGGTTGGTAATAGGTTTTTGGTATCATTAGAGGGTGTATAAAGGCGCAGCAATGGTTGCGCAGTAAATATTGGCCTCGCGTGTGGTAGGTCTTGCCGGACTGACTCTGTTGGAGCGCCGCAGGACCTCGGCCTCACTGTAAAACCCCGCCGAATGGCTCAACCAGTCCAGTTCCCCTCGTCGGCATAAAAAGCCCGGAAACAAAAAAACGAGAGAGGCTTATTGTACGTACACCACCACTCTGAGAAATAACGAAAGCTCAAGGATAGATTGTTAGTGAGTTTGAAGACCGCTCGCCACCGGCACTAGTCCATCTAAAGAATATTCGACGACACGTGTTTGCAACGGACATTCCGGTCCACTTGGACTGGCATCTTCACCTCACACTTTGGTCGGATTAAGTGCTGTCCACTGTGATGAGCATTTTAGCTATTACCCAGCTCAATGCAATTGGCAAAGGGTTGAAATTCGTGACCCACTGCGAATTCAGAGTGTTGTAGTTCCGAAAATCGTACGAGGGACATATGCATCGGATTGCTTGCAACAGGTATGCGATATAATTTTATTGTTTTATTGTATTTATTTATCGGGAATTCTACGATTGTTGTTCGTCTTGTCTTGTGCTTTAGCTTCTCTGGGGTTACTGGAACATATTCCATTGCCTGTTCACGTCAATAGTATCGATCTTGAAAAAACTTTAATTGCCAGTTAAATACAGTCACGACCTTCTTTTCAATTCTTGCATGTGAATGAATCATGTTTGGTAATAGGATTTCGCTAATCACCAGTTGGTTGTTGTTTTTGGAGGAAACTTAGTGAGGTATATGTTTCATGGTTCGCTCAGACAAAAAAAAATTGTTAATGCATATGAATATACTGTCATCTCTGATAATTGGGTGCAACTGACGTCACGTATGCAAAGTTATATCTAGAGCAATAATATCGATTAGGACTAAAAGTACTTGATAGCGAAGATCGTCTGTAGACTCTATTGATCACAGAGGAAATATTTACCACTGGTACATTCATCACCCTGAAATAGCGACTATTTATTCAACCACTTAAGGTACATGAATGCAAACGTTCCAACACTGACTATTAAGTTGTAATAATAGCTCATGCATTGTCGTCAACATTGTCCAGTTTCCTCGTTATCACATCCTGAAATGTCGCCTCGCTTCGGTTTTCGCTCGAGTTGTGACGTATACAGACTTCACTCAGAATCAGCTTGAAGAGATAATGCTACATACCCGGTTCATAAATGCTTTTCTGTCATTTCTCTCATTGTTCGGGCTTTCATAACATCAATATCTACAGCTCCAAAGTACTTTGTCATCAACTAATCCCAAAGATAAATGCAAGATCCGCATAATTCATTTAAAAAAAACCACTTTGCAGATTAAAAATCAATACGACCTACACAAAAATATATATTCAATAACTGTTCTTGTTTGAGGACTTCATCTAAAGTTCTTTGCGCTATCTAAATTGCCACGAGATTGCCTGTTTGTTTCCATTTTAGGAAATGACGATTCTCTGTAGTTTCTCCAAACGCAAAGGAGGGCATTTAGTTGGGATTGTGAACAAATGTGTAATAATTGAAGTAGGAATGTTCGGACAAATGGTTTAGCTAGGTTAGGATGGATATTTGATCTGACCCACTTTTTCTGCTTCGATTTGCGTGACCACATCTATGTGAATATGGTAAAAGGCTAGGGTAGTGACAGTTTTACGTGTTCACATGATGCGATATTCTTGGTCGCAACCGTCCACCCTAAACAAGACATGAATTATTCCATTCCTCACAATGCCGAAATTCCATGACAATGCGAACATCAGTGCCATAATATTACCAATGCCACTGAAAAATGTGTTTTGGGACGGGCATGATTTAATGGATGAGTGACGAATGAAACCACCACCACCACTCGTAATGAAATTTTTTAATGGAGTGAATCAAAGTTATATTTGAATTCGTAACCAAATGGCAAATCAATTCCGGCTGTCATTTTTCCACTCATCCTTTTTTAAAAACTTATCCCTTTATATATTTGAGATTATTCACACAGCGGTCGATGTTTTCTATAATATTTTGTCCTGAAAAGATAGCTGTGGTATTATTCACGTCTACTGAAGTGGAAGACGCTAACATGAAAGGAGATATGAAAAATGGAGAAGGTCTTTTATGTGCGCGTATAAAGGATTCAACGACCTTATCGAATTTCGAACGCACCTTATGCATTTGGTGAAATCAACTTTGACTCAAGCTTATACTCAAATGGATAAAACGCAAAAGCTGTTTGGCAAGTTGCTCCTAGGGCGAATCATATTCCTTTGTGTATTTCAAATGAAGTTTCCAAACAACACAACTTCGTCATCCTCCTGCCGACACTTTGCAGCTTGCGCTTTACTTGTGGGTGAGTAATTCAAGCAATACCAAATCCCATTTCGTTGGAAGACGAAAAGACTTTTTCCATATTCTCTCAAATAATTGTCGACAGTCTGATTTTACGTATTTTTTCGGATCGAATTTATTTCTTGTCGGCCACTGTGTCGATCAGTGCTATTTTCATATTTTGAGAGAAATTTTAAATGCTAAATACTTCCCATTGTAATGACGGGCGATCGATACTTCAGGAATTTAGTTTGGAGTCGTCGCTTTCGTAAAGACGAAACGGCATGTCGAATACTGTCTTCATGGAACAGATGGTGGACTCACAAGCATCTGAAATCTATGGATACTGAAGAATCCAATGGCGCCAATCGATAAGCGAAGTGGCTATTGCAGACAGTTGGAAAAATTATATTGCTATACTTTATCCGAAGAATCTACGGAAGCGATTGCAGGTGACATATTCGTGTCCATTTCAACAGCCCATTACTTTGGGTAATGAATCATTTGTAGTACATGCGTATAGGCAGATGCGAGTTTCACAGTCGAGGGTAATTCTCTCCCCTTCGGCTAACGCATTTATCATTAATTTTCATCAGCCTAAAAGAGTGACTGGTTATGGTAGAGGGTGAACCCCACCATCAACCTCGGTAACTAAAATATTTCTGATGCAATATTGTAGGGAAAAAATACTCTTCAGACGTTTCACTTCGTTAATTGAAATTTTCGTCCTCATTTTTGGGATATAATTAGAGTGCGGAGCCACCCTTGTGCAGGGAAGGAAAAATCTGGGGGAAATAATTCCTTCACTCTCCAATTGATAACAAATTATTTAATCACATTAGCATTCTCGGTCGAATTGAGAATTTCCCACTTTGATAAATCTCGAGCCTGGAATTTCACTGAGTGCATCTGCACAGAGTCCTCAGCGCAATTCTTGCCTGGGGATGAAATCACTTCGCTTTGGGGGTTATCAATATCATGGATAAACACACAATTTACGCTCGAAAAAACATTACCATAGCAACAAAATGGAATCATACAAGGTTTTAATACCCAGTCATGTAAAATTATTTCATTTCAATTTTTACAACTCAACTGATAAATTCAGCCATGAAAAAAATCCATCGAAAAAGTTCAACAATCAAAACAGAAAAATTGAAAGGAACAATTGAAGACTAAATAAGGATACCGCCGCTTGCTTAATTATATTTTGTCAACAAGTTATTTGTGTGTTGTTAACAGTTAATAATATCCCCCTTTTAGAATATAAAAGTTGTTGATACTTGTCGACAACTTACGGGATACTTCAACGAAAGGCATTTATTGTGGTCACGGGAACAGCAGGGGGTGATAATCCAATTAAGAGGGTCAAGCAAGAGAATAAACTCATGACCGATGGTTTCCAATAACACTTATCTATTTTGAAAAAATATTGTCATCACTCAGGGCCCCGTACCTCGAAGTATACTCAAAGTATTCAATTAAGAATCGGTCAGCGTCATGTATGGTGTATTTAGAAAGCGTATTCGAGAAAATTCTTTTTTTTTGCTTATTTTCCAATATATTGGGGAAAACGGGAGTTCTGCTTGTTTACTTTCAACGATCCACCGTTTAACAAGCGAAATAACCGAGGATTTTTCCCCAGCTGTTTTGCGGATTACCAAGAGAGGAGTAAAAAATAAAAATTAAAAACCCAACAACACATCCTCGCAGTTGCAAAAAACCGCTAGTCCCATAATCTTCTTACATCTAATACATAGCTCAGCATGACCCCCATTACACCGACAGTAACTACTTGCATGCTGAAATTCTGATCCACGTGATAACCCCACTGATCTCATAAGAAATAATACGATACTGAATATTTAATGTTCACGATATTTAGTCAATAAAGTTTAATGGGTATTTGCAACAACGGGATTCAGTCTTTTGTTTTATCGTTTGCCATTAAAATCAGGTGCTTCTGGATACCACAAATGATATCGTCCATAGTTGATTCATGAAGAGGAGAATATATTTTGTTTTCCCACCATGCAAAGGAAGGAATAGATATTCACAATGAAAATTTTTATCTCAAGCCTCCACCGATTATTGCCATTTAAATCTCAATAAAATTAAATGTTTCAATTTTTTTTTATGGAAGTATTTATATGAAGGTCTTTTTACTTAAAATAAATTCAATGATCTCAATGACCGTTTGAGAATTATGAATGAAATTCGTAAGATCTTATTCCTCGTGACAAAATTTCCCAAATGGAGAATAATTCTTTTTTTACCCATTTCTTTTGTGACCCCTTGAATATTACCATCGAGTGGAATTTCTTGTCTACTTGCGTAGCAATCTGCATGTAAATAAACAGCAGGCTTATCAGCACGTGAATCAGTTATCAATTCATGATGTTGATTATGCCTTGAGAATCAAATAATTCTCTGTGCATGAACGAAAAAATATCGATTCTCATTCAATCCCACTGTTATTAGATATTGAAATGCTCGATGTTATCAAAAAATTTATCCACCCACACTTCAGACTTCGTCACGAAAGCACTCGATTGCTTACCACCCTCGTACAATATTAGGGATATTAATTCCTAATAGAAAAGATATTTTCCATGACCCATTCTACCAGCATACACCAATACAATCCACCGGACGAAATCGATTCCATTCATTATATATTCGTGTGTTTACCCACAGAGAATATTGATGGCACCAGATTCTCATAAATACAATTTACCCAGCACAAACGCTGAAATCATTTCATTGAGTCATTGAGAGATCATTTTTGAGGATTTGCGTGATTGAAATCACTGCGGTCATGCATACGTAGGGATAAGTAATTATCGGGGTTTATATATTTCAACTTTGGGCCACGTTTTCAAAAAAATGTTTTTTCCCACTAGCCTCGAGGTAATTTCAAACTATTCAATTATGCATCTGTCAATCCGCAATTGTTTCAGAATTTTTCGAGTAAATTCCGTGAAGAATGGTTTAATGAACTCATAAATTATGAACAGGGTCCGTGACTTCATTTCACTACGATTGTTGATAAACATTGAATGATTGCTGATAACAATCGCCATGGCATGAACTCCCGAGGCCCAGTTATGAATGTAATTCAAATTGAGGTTCAAAACCCATTACTTATTTTTCTTCATTTGCATTTTCTAAGTCAAGTAGTATGAACTGTTCATTTTTAATCTCTGAAAACCATTCATTCCAATAAATTACTGTGAATATTTAAATTCATGAAATAGTCCAGTTGAATTACACATTTTTTTGGTGAGAAAAAAAATAGGTAATATTTTGAAATTAAAAATAGACATTTCAGAATTGTGATTTCTATGCATTTATAAAAAGGCATGTGACAGCGCATCAGGCTTTAAGCGCCTCATACTCTGGTATAAATTCAATATGAAAGGAAAATCTACTATTCATGTGATTTCGTGAATGTGGTCTCAGTCCACTCAACAAATAGAAAAGCCATAGAATAAAAAAAAAAAGAAAATACCGTCTCTTGCATTTTTCATGGCCCATAAGCTGTGGCCATTTGTTGATGTCGCATGAGAATAATAATATTTCTCAAATTTTTAACAGAAAATATTTTACACCAATCGAAAACAAAACAAATTAACTGACTAATTTATCTTATCAATCTGGGTTTGTAAATATCGGGAATTTTTCCCGGGAAAACATGCCGAGGGGCGCTTTCTACAATTTTCCATTAGTACGTCGAGCAGTTGAACATTGCAGACATAAAATATATATTTTGCTGGTTTAATACGTCCCTAAGGCTTTCATCTCTCTATCGCGATCTTTCAGAATGAAGTACGAATGAGGACGTTTAAAATTACTACCCCTGCATTTTTATATCTTCATAAAATGCAAATTCGCTTTACGTTGAAACTCGACATGCATCCATACACCCGGAAACATAAAAATTTATGCACACAGAGAGGAATATTCAATAAAAATTGCGGAAAGTGCTGGAAAAATTCGATGACAGTTCCGTAAACATTTCGGGGAAAGATATTGCTCTCAGAAATTGCGGAAAGATAGTTTATTTTACCTGGAGATTTCTCTCCGTGGACGCAATGTCAATAGATGTGAACATTAGAGTTGATGGGTTTCTCCCCTTCCATTTTCCAATGCGCCATTCTCACTAATGAAATGTCATCTGCTTCCAGGTGAACCAAACCCAGACAAGACACTTTGTGGAAACTACAAGCACCCCACCAAGGTGTCAAGGACTTTGGGTGACTTGCCAGTTGCATCATATTGTGAATTGGGGTATGGTGGTAGGTGTGACGGCGGGGCGATGACACTCAATCACCGTCCGCCGTCGTCACCACGAGTCCCCCAGGACTCGACCGACTTCCTTATCCCATACCCATTCCCGATCCTGATTCACAACAAAAATATCTGTCACTCGCGATATCGTACGAGCAGTATAACTCATCGAGTAACAACGACGAATAGGTATGAAAGATCGCTCTCGTCATCACGAGCACAATCAGGGGATGCCATTGGAAGAGATACAGGGACTCTTACCGCCGTCTTCCAGAACAGGTAGACACCATCATATCATTTCCAGTCATTGAATCAATTATCATTTAATTCATATAAAAAAATATTTTTACAAAAAAAAAATCCAAGTTAAAAAACTGAAATTGTCAATAATCCTATATTGATGAGTCAGTCGATTATGGTTAGGAAAAATTTGCAATTTGCAATGATTTGCAGTTTGTTGGTTTTATGCGAGCATACTTCCTTAATCTATTCTCAGTCTGCAAAATCTATTTCGGAATGAAAACAGGAATAATCGAACGTGCCAAAAGGAAATGAATTAATGAATGATGAGCCGACATTCTGACGCTGATCTAATGGTGATTGAATTGAGCACCAATATTTCACATCAACTCCGATGTCGACGGATAATTACTCCCTCACAATTGCTACTCGTGATAATAAAAAATTCAGGGATTGCCAGTCTATCGCCGACAAAGCGTGAATAATTGAAACGAATGCATTTGAATAATTTATCTGTCCCTGTCACTTTTCACAAGTCCAATGTCGATTAAATGCACTCGCCCAACTCGCACAGATGATAATCCGCGAAGTTACGTCGATGATAACGGAATAAATTACTTTTGGTGATTCCATAAGCTTATGCGCATCCCCCGACCACCGAATCGATAACTCCTCGTTTCCCTGTTCATGTCTGACGTTCCTCACTCCTTTTTGAGCAAATTGTCCTTTTTTATTTTTTAAAAGGAACTCCACTTTTTCAGAAAATACCAAATAAATCGTGATGCACACACGTAATTCTCTGTTACACTCTCGTTTTTTCCCTCCCCGCGCTATTTCTCATGGACGAATAATGAGAAATGCTTCTTAATAGATTAATCTCACAATTAGTTTAATGTGTCCATTCTACTAACAAGAGGTTAATTACCAATTAGTAACTCCAACGAGTAGGAACGAAGCTGCAAAGTGTCGTACTAGATCCTCGAGAAGCTAATTGGAAACTGCACTTGGTAAATGAACGCGTGAATAAGAGTTATTACGTGTATGATTGATGCGACAATGGATTATCGATTTTTTCATTATCATGTGGCATATCGGCATGTATTTAAACTGGTATTAAAACATTCCGATCCTATTGAGCATGAAGAAATCATTGGTATCATAATGATAGATCCCTCATTGTCACCAGGAAAATTTCCCAATTAGAAAAATTGAAGTATGTCGTCCTATAGCGGTTAGAAATATAAAGCGTTTCAAATGTTTGAGTGGCTGGGATTTTTTAAATCCACTGTTTATTGTGGATACAAAAATTGAAGCTGCCCTGTAAATGTGAGTAACTCATACTGTTATCACTCGTAAACTCCGGAAAAGTTGCTACACTCATAATCTCTCACCCCCCCCCCATTGCCGACGTAATTTCCCCTTGCCGTTATTTGATAAACGCAGACAGGTATTCAGGAACTATTTTACACTTCTTAACTTCAAAATCTTGGATAATTATGCAGTTCTTGAAAAAGATATAAAAAAGACGATGGAAATTCAATGCTGGGGAAGTTGGGGAACTACCATGTATTTTTTCGGGATTAAAGTTGAGAGGATTTATCTGTGGGATAGAACATCAAGATGAGTGATGAGATTTCCGATGGAAAATGAGAATGGGGTTGGGGAACACCGCGTACAACTCTGTTTTCAGGAGATTTCGAAGTTTTAGCAATGGAAATCAATCACGATCAGAGGCGGTCATGTTTCTTAGAGTGTAGTGAGTTAAAATCTACGACCTAGGATCAGAAAAATTCTTGCTATAATTTCTTCTCCTACTTGCATGGAGAATAATTGTCATTAATACTTCAGCATATTTTTGGGCGAAACGTACGTGCATATAATTGACATCTTTCGGTATAATTGATATGAACTGCTTTTCCTACAAAATTTCTCTCTTTTACCGCAATGGATAATTTTCGAAATGTCGCATAGAAATCGGCATGAAAGTTTCCACTAAAGTTCTTCAACTGACCCGATCAATCAAGAAAGAATTAATAGCAGGAATTTTCTTACTTCGAGAAACAGAGTTTTTGTGGGAGTATAAAAGAGATTGAAAAAAACTTATCTGTGGTTGACGTGATCGTTTCGTTTGAAACATCCACATCGGGACGATGAAAGATTGCAGTAGGGGAAAACGAAGCAGTAAAAAGTGGCCGGGGACATGTCGAAAGCAACACCCAAGTAGAAAATATCATCAGTCAATTAGTAAAGTGAAAGAAAAATGATAAAATTATTACCAAGCGAGGTAAATCTTAAATTTGTTCATTAAGGATGAACTTAACAGTTGGCGAATGTTCGAATTGATTCTGTATTGGCGATAAATTTAATTAATAATAACAACAACGTGTGACACTCCCGAAATCTCTTTGGAATAAACATTTTTTTCAAAGCATTTCAATATCAACAAGAATGGAAGTTGAGAATAGATTTTTTCGTTGGTTCAGTGGCTCAGGGTCCAATTAGGCTAATTCCTAAATTATAAAGTCGTTTCCTGCTCTCTCTGGCTCCGGTCCACCTTAATATGGCTGCGGGGCGTGTACATAATATCGCGTGTTCACTTGAAATTAAAATACTTCATAGTGGTTTATGGAGAAATATGAGGGTGGTGCGCATTGGCACATCGATTCACTGCTGACAGCTTGGAGAACTTCCGTATTTGGGTCACGCAAAGTTACCTTTGTACAGCCTTAAATCCCCGCCCAAATCAAACAGGGTTATTCCTCTCGATCCTCCTGGCAGGACACACCATCGAGGTTCGCATATTACAATGGTTTTTTATTTATAGGTAACCGGGGTCCGTTGAATGTTACAATCGTGCAAGTGGGCGGTGGTAATAACAATGGAAGTGGCGGAGGACACGAGTATCTTGGGCTGGACACGGCAGAATTAAAACCTGTTCCATCACCTCTCTCTGAAACCAGCACTACTCTGCCGTCTGACAACAATGACACCTTCACTGGTGGTGAGTGATTTTTTTTTTTTCATTTCCTCCACTTTATTTATTTTTATTAGAAAAAAAATTTAATGTCTTATACAAGACAATTGAAATTATATAATTACACTCAATTATACTCAATTACACTTAATCACTCGTTAATTTCAAAAGCCACTGACACTGCGATTTGGGAAAATGAGGGGGAGAAAATGGCGATTATCAAATGTCTAATCCACACGTTCATTAAACCAAATTTGAATGGCGGAATAATTCGCCGAATACTCTTCGTGCTTGAAAATTAATTTAATATTTCCACAAAGTTACTCTACTTAGCAGCATGTGTGTGCAGTTTGGCATATAAGGCCGAGCGCAAACGGTTGCAATTCGATTTTCAAATCCCCAATCTATTTTTACCAACACTAATTAAATTATCGAACGAATTTGCGCCCAGTAGTTTTTATTTCAATAAGTCAATTCCAAGTAATTTATTTGATTACTTATCCGAAAATTGAATATCGATCAACCTGGAAATTCCAATTGTTCATTCCTCCTGAGTTCTGACCCGCATACCTTCAAGGATTGAAAAATCGGTGGAAAATTACCGAACGATCCATGCAACCACAAGCCGAGGCTAATTTTTCGACATTACTCATCCGATATGGGGTCACGAGATTTTCACTAAAAACCGACTAAAAAAACCCTTTGACCCCTACCCCTTCGCTGCAGATTTCAGTGAACAATTACCTTTGATAAAGTGAAATTTCTCCCGAACTCTTTATAATTTCTTTCAAACTCTTCTAATTACACATCAATTTTTTTTTTAATCTTCCGAAACAAACGATTGCGCGTTCCACATGGCATGAGGATTTTCCGAGGAGGAGTCGATGCCCGAGGGCATTCAGGGAATCTGAAAGCTCCGTATCGGCTATGTGCCCCTATATTTTCTGCACGTCTTTAAGCCATCGCAATATATCACATCCGGCTGTCGGAAATGCCTGAAAAGACAGTTCCAGGGTGTGGATTTCAAGGTATATTGATGAACATACACCCCAGGATGTAAAACGAGACGAAACGAGGGAGAAATGACACACAGTTAGGAGACCCCGGTTATGATCCACACTGCGATAAAAAAAAGGGTCGATTGAACGTGGACGTTGTCAATTGAAATTTTCAAAGAATTTATTTTTGTTTAGTAATTCTCAATTCATGGCAATATTCACAAACGAATGTAAAACTATATGAAGGTGTGAAAATACTTTGATAAGGACGAGACACTATTGACTCGAATCACTTCGGACTTGAATAAAGCGATAAAAAGATTGAGTGACGATCAATCGTGTAAATGATCATGATTTGATCAACGGTTTTTTTCTTAGTACGTGAATGAAGAATAAGTAGTAAATGTGTGTTCCTGCAGTTGTGATTTTCTCGTTGGTCTAGCCAGTTGCTGAGTTCCGCTGATCAATAAGCAAATCAGTATGTCACATGCCCCTATTCACATATCAATAGCACATGATCCTGGTACATTTCATAGTCGGTATATTCCAAATGGTTGGAAATAAGCAACCGCAACTGGCTACCGCAAAATATATATGTAAACTGATAATCCGATTAACAGGCGCGGCTCGGTGCCTTTAGAGACAAACTTGGCTGCAGGGTCTTCGAATGTACAGTTATAGTTTTGTTTCGTGGAACGACTGGGTGCACAGCTACTTTCAGATATAAAGTATTGTTTTCTCGGTCAGCATAGGTTAACATTCAGTCCCTGGATGAATTCATTTGAAAAGCAATAAAATAAGGGATTGAGTTTATTCGGGGTAGTAAATGCGCAGTTTATGCATTTACTTCAAGTCCGGTAAGATCATTCACCAGGTACGCTAATAAGTTCAAGTCTTCAATTATTCGGCGGCTATTCATCGGCTATTTATCGAGAGATACCTGAGATGGATATTCAGTGGATAATTGGAGTGGTCAGATTGTGGAGTTGATGATTAATTTTAAAATGTATTCAATGCTATTTTGGGGAATAACCAGGTAAATAACCATCCAAGTACCACATGGTTTCATGAATATGACGTATTAAACTTGAGTTACCGAAAATCGAAGAAGGAGGAGGGACGGGAGGAGGGGAGGGGCTCAGTGGTGTTGATTTCTGAAATGCGAATATGAGGGGCATCTCGTGAAAGTGAAATAAATTTGACATGTCCGTGCAACGTGACCCCGACTCGCAAATGAGATCAGGTAGAACGTGGCGGCCTCGAAAAATTTTACAACAATCTCAAGTGTTCGTTGTGAATTGTGATAGTGATGGTAATAATAATGTTCCGGGGGGAAAGCCATCGACATTTCAGCGAAACTCGAGTATACGGAATAAGCAACTGCAGAATCGCTTTCGCTTGTCGGATGAACATTGGAAGAAACAGCGCAGCAATGGTAACGAAAATTATCGATAATAATCGAGAGAATTCAGAGGATAATTTTGATTAAGGTCCTTTGAATTATTCGGAAGCTGCTGCCATTGTCTTTCAGGCGCTAACCACGCCAATCTTCGATTATCGATTGCTAAAGGGATTAGTGCAATACCCAACACTCAATGTGCAGGGTCAATGATACAAATGAATATGCAAGTATCTTGACCATTATACTTCTGTGGCTTCAGTATCTTTTTTTTTTTACTTTCAATGAAACACCTAAAGTCTCGGTTGATGTATCCTCGGAGCAGCCTTCGGAGATTCCGTCGTGTCCATCACAAAAGCTCATACACGCACACCCCATTCTATTGATACTTGATAAATTTATTTTTCCGACAAGTCTGCTGCAATTGAGTTTTGGAATGCACTATCCCCGAATATAGAGTATAGAATTAGAAAGTTATGGTAAAATAATAAAAAATTTTACGATCCCACTCAGGAGTTGATCCTCGCCTTCTCCTGGGAGCAGTGGGTGGTGCAGGAGATCGTAGCGGTTGGGAGGGTCGTTACTACGTCAAAGAGCATCGTCGTGCTGGAAAGGCAACTTTTCAAGGTCAAGTGTACAACTTCCTCGAGCGACCAACTGGCTGGAAGTGCTTCCTTTACCACTTCTCTGTGTGAGTACCCAACATATTCTACCTTTGTCGTCCAATGTTGCTCGATGCGTCCAAACGTTTCCCAAAGGGAGCCACAACCTCGCAATCTCCAGATAATATGAAATGATGAGGCTATTATCGCCAGCAAAACGAGATAAACGTCATCTTTGAGCTCGAAATGGTCCCTGGCGAATCTTTCTCAATCTGTGCCTTCCCCAATACATCTTCCATACCTCCGTCCACAATTTTTCCATCAAAACCGCCACTCACGAGTCTCATCATAAAATCCTACTTGATTACCGTCATCCACCTCCATCAATCTTCATCCCGTCTTTAATAATAGAAGTAATTGTCAACATCATGAAAAGATTGATGGCGAAATGTACCTTGGCCCGGTGGAAAACTTATTCGAGAAAACTCGCTGGAATTTTCCATACAATGCACAATTCATGAGTTTATACTTGGAAAGGTATTATAATCGCCTTTCTCTGTAGTTTATCATCCCCAACCCAACAGTTACTAGCCCGGTGGCTTTTATGCAGCGATTGAGACGGGTATTCTGAAGGAGCAACAAAACGTCACAATGCGAACATTAAAGCGCCTCCATTTTTTATCCATCAAAATGTAATGTCATCATTACTGCATAATGTACATGGTCTGTTGTCGTCTGCATAACATCACGATAAAATACATTGATCAATCGTTGACGCGTGTTGCGGTTGCCATCAATGGAGAATATCTCTGTGCACGTTTGTACATAGGCCCGCAGGTCACTCCATCTGGTTCTCTGAATCACGCGATACCGATATTCCCGGATAACGATAAAACATCCATTAAACGTGATACTATCGCTGTCATTCGCCACCTCGATGGATCATGCTGACCTGAAAAACATGGGTTTTCGATTTTTTACGGATATCCGTTGAGTTTTTCGCATGCTGCCTAATTATTCACTGATTGATAAGCGACTTTATGGAGACAGCTAACCGTGAAATACGCGTTCTGTACTGATCGCGATTTTTTTTTTATTTCAACCGCGAAGTCATTCCAAGAAATAATTTTTTTTCAATAAAATCTTGAATTATTGAAAAATGATTGAAATTGAGAACTACCAGAACATTCAAGGCATTAAATTATTCATCAATGAAGAATTGTTGAAAATTCCAGTATAATTTTCCAACAGTGAAACGTCAATTATTATTTCAATTTCGTTAATTACCAGATTAAAAACGACAAGTAACGGGCTGACGTATGGGTTTGAAATAGTAATTGACGTTTAGATTTTTTTGCGGGGGCACTTTATTCTTGTTAGTTTGTGTAATGGGTAGTTGCATGCATCCACGCGGGTGGAATCCATCCCCAATTAGGGGTTCGAAACGCCTAATCGACAGTTACGTATGTTCCGAGTCGTTTATCGATTGACACCACGTGCGCACGTCGCCTCAAACATCAATTGCATTCTATGATAACTGGGATAAGCACAGAGAAAAATAAAAAAAAAATTATAGTCGCGCGTTACAAAAGAGACGCAAAGTGACGGCCGAAAGAAAATTTTAATACAAACACCAATTTTTCTCTTATTTAAATGAAATGTTCTTCACGACCCATCACGGTATTTCCTGGCTGTCAATTTTTCCTGGTCAGCACTAGACTTTTTTGAATAATTTTTCAATCTCTATTGCGGGCTTGTGCACTTGCCAATTGACTAGTCTTGGAGTGAGACGAACAGATGGCAGTCTGTATGCCTATTTCCCCTTCCTGGTTGTCGGTATTCTCCTTTTTCCACTTATCGAGCGTAGTTGAGGGTTCGATGATGTGATGATAACTTCTACTGCGGATCAGTCGGTGATAGGTCGATTGATTTATAGGGTAACCCATCCACTGGATGAACACACCTCAAAAGATCAACCATCAACCGTAAATTTCAAATATCATATTTAAACAGATACTTTGAGTTTTCAGTAACTATTGAAATTAAATACATTAAAATCCCCGTAGAGGTGCACCTCTCCTCAATTTCTGTTTTGGCGTATTTTTCGGTTCACCCGCTCTACTACCTCTGGGCCACAAAATGTAAATAATCCAACCCAATCCACTATAACGAGAGTTTACTGTGTATGAATCCCACAATTAGTTGCTCCTCTCCAGTTCACATTTTAATGTTTAAAAAATCTTCCATGCGGAAGCAAAAGAATTAAACCAAAATCATCTGATTTTCCCCATGAAAAATTCGTAGAGAAAACGAAGATTCCGGATCAACATTCCGGATTAATAAATCCTGTCATTCTTCAAATGCCAAAAGCCTCACAATATTTTAATAAATTCGAAATGAATGATGTGCCCCATTTTTTCACTTCCAGAATAATCAACTTATTAAATTTTAATGATTGGAAAATTTAGGTCAATCCGTATTATGATGAACAAATTAGTTCCGGCAATTAGTTCCAATAATACTTGATATTTTCATCCATTCCATCGTATCTCGTATTTCCATTCTGCATTAATTTAATTAGCGGATGAAAACGTCGAAAACCATCATCCCTACACATTTCTCTCTCGCCACTATTAGTATGAAATGACTTGTTGAAAATACTCGGCATATTCCATCGAGTTTCATTGAGAGTTCATTCCTAAAACGCAAAAATTTCATAATCCAAACATTGATAAAATCCGAAAGAGGACACGGCGTGAAACGGATATATCGACACCTTCTCAACTTCTATCGACTTTGGTCTCCTCCGGTTTCCGAAACCACCGGTGGTTCCTGTTGGAAGTCTCCACCGATATATCCAATTTTCGTGTTAAAACACGAAAATTCTTATCATCAAGAAAAATAAAGCTAATACTTCACGCTATCTAACGCACTCACGCTTCCATAAATAAAAAAAAACAGCCGTAGGCGTCCCTCATTGCTTTTCAGTCAATTCGTTTGCCTACTGCCAATTTACAATACCGAATATTCTCCGTTTATTCGTCCATTTAAAAAATAAAGGATCCCCATGAAATTCAGGGGTGAAAAACAAGGAGTACGATTATTTTTAATTCTTTGCATAATCCCATTGAAGGAATTTGAATATCTCACCACGCCAAGTTTTATCACCTCCCCTTCCATTAAAACGCCAAGTCTATGTGCGAGGGGTACATTATATTTCAAGTAATTCAGGGGTCATACATCCACTGCTAAAAAAATATAAATTCAACAATTTTTATCTAGATTCTGAAATCTGCAATTTAACTCGCCTTCGGACAAAACGCACTAGAAAAAGTTTTATTTTACAATACTCTTTGAAATTAAACTTCTTTATATTTGGATTCAATAAATAAAATAATGACAATTGATTCAACTGAATTGATGCCTGTCAATCAACAACAGTGAAAAACTGCTCGTAATAAAATTTCGAGCTTAAAAAAAATCGTTGATTGGCATCAACATTAATGCACCCTTCGAGCTGAGCAGACAGATAAGATAAACAAAAATATTTTTTAATTATCTTTAAATAGTTTATTTAATCTTATCTCACGGCGTGTCGCCTTTTGCGCGTGATTTTTCTTCGTCTTAGAGTTTCGTCCTAAACTCATAACGGAGTGTTAGTTTAATGACTTCGCAAAAGTTCAAGGACGTTTTTATACTACTGGCAAAAAGCATTTTGGACGTACACATTGAGATGGAGTGAATAATAGTGGAACAGAGGAAAAAAGAACACTATCATCATGACCACACTATTGATTTTCTCACTTTTATAATGGCTTGCATAATGTATGACCATTTCTGAAGTTTACAGTGATGGTTTTTTTTTCTCCCCTTATTTCCTGATTGTGTACTATCGTGACCCACATCCCTATGGATGACTGGAATAAAATTTGATGTTCCGAATAAAAAAAACCGGCGAGAGAACAATTTTTTCATTTAGTTATAATACCCGGTGATTTAACGATACGATGACGTGACACTCGTAACAGCAATAAATCTTGTCAACATGATAATTTGTCGGGACTGGGAATGAATCACTAATGTCATTTCCATATTCATTCCTCCGCGTAATTAATGAGCCAATTAATTCAACAGTTTGCTCGTAAATTTCAATATGATTGAAGTCGAGGAACGAAATTGAGGTGTTCAGAACTTGAATAGAAAGGATTTTTTTGGAATCAAAAAACAATGACCAATGAAAGCCACATATATAGGACTGTGCAAATCTCGCAAATTTACTGAACAGATTCTCAATTCAATCGGTTTTTTTCTGGCCTTTTACTTTACTCAACAATACTCTAGGGAAAAACCTATATATTCAGCCGTACGGCTTTATTCTTGAAGGGAGAACTAGGGTGCAGTCGAACTGTTCTCCATTTCATTTCTCCAAGTGGATTCATCAAAACTCATTCGGTTTGAATGACGAAAGAAATTGATGGAGAATATCCTAGAGTCATAACAGAACAGCATTATAAAAAGTTTATTGGATCTTAATTGAAATCCATTTGGCTTCTATCTCATCTATATTCTCATCTAAATTCGGCTCTATTCCAAATTTTCGTCTGAAATTTCCGGTGTATCTTTCGGAAATATAGAATAATTCTGAAATATTCCCATCGTCAAACATGCATCGAATTTAAATCCGTTGTTCCAAGGAATCCTGCTGGAATAAAATTAAATTTTTCCACTTTAATGAATTATTTCACTAAAAAATTTTATATTGTTGAAAAAACTGAATAATGAAAGCATTCCATTCTCGAGGCTCGCCCATGATCCTCGCCTCAGCATTCTTCGGGATGAACTATTTAATTCATCGAATAATGATAAGAACATTTCATGTTATTAAATTTCTTGCCCAAGTTACGGATACGCAGATCCTTCGCCTTAAAGCTTGCTGAATCAAAAGTTGAGGTCCAATTTGAATGACTATTCCGGCCCTTTCATGGGAAAACACATCGACCAGAAGGGAGAACTACTCAAACTCCAAGCGATAAAGAAACCGTCTCAGGTGCCCTCGCAAATTGCAACTCGTGGAAACCCTTATAAAAAC